AAAAAAAAAAAAAAAAAAAAAAAAAAAAAACCAGAAAACCACAAGCATCGGCAGTTGCGACTAACTTGCATCGCTGAAAAGAGATCAATAATGCAATGGCTGTCCACAGTATTGAAGAAGCAAAATCACACAACGCGCTTAGAATCTCGCAGCTCCTGATGAAGAAAGAACAGTATACGAACAGAGATTCGGAGCAGAACAGAATACAAAGCCCGGAGCCAACAGATTAAATTCAGAGCATATTCAAAAAATTTCCATAGTGGGATTGGGAAAAGGAAAAAGAAAGATCACCTCGAGGTTGATTTGATACTGAGAATCGTAGCAGAAGAAGGGGACAGCACTGAAGAACGTCTGGAAGGAACTTTTTGCTTTTGCTCAGTGTGATACTCCATAATTCGTGAGTCATGATTGTGTTTGTTCTTGTTTTATTTTTTATTGAGGAACGTTTATTGTGGCAGAACGCGGTATGGACTTTGGAGGTTCAAAAAAGGGTGAGGGTTAGGTTGATTATTCTATTGACATGACTATATGATATTGTTCATATTGAACCTAAGCGACTTTGATTTGAGCTTCTCAAAATGTTTCATAGCAATTAAAATAATATTTCTGAATCATACTCCCATCATCATTCCCTAAATTAGCAGTTGTAGAGTATAGAAGTACTAAAATACATCGAAAATATTACATTATACTTTTCATTAAAAGTATTTATTCTAATCCATACAACATTGGAAATAATCGACAATTCTAAGTTTTAAGTACTTTTTTGTGTCTTTATTTGGTGCAGTAACTAGATCATTGGTTAATATCAAACTATTGTGAAGTATCGTGATTCTTAATACTATTTTGGTGTATTAATAAAGACAATATTTCTTACTTGTATATCTATGATATTTTATGATTACAAATTATACGATAAATAAAATATATATTCAATCAATATTTTATGTTGCATAGTATCGATTCATAAATATGTAATTAATTATTAGTAATGGAGTGGATTTATGGCTGAGATTACGATGGAAATGTAAAGTATTTTGAAAAATCATATTATACATGGTTCGAATCTAGATATGTTCATTTTATCAATAGACTAAAGCTCGTAAGACCCACTCTAAACGAATAGGAAATTCTCCATTTAGACTGATAATAAGGGAGGGAGTAGAGAATATTTTTTCTTTGTTGTATAAATTGGACCGAGAATGAGATTATATTATTCACCTAGCTTAATATAAATATATTTTCAATATATATATTGAATTAATTAATTTTGAGACGTTAATCGTAAGATTTAAACCATATAGTTTAAATATTAAAATTTGAATTTCAAGAAATTATGTTAGGTAGAGTATATATAATTGTTTATGAAATATATTAATTTATTAAGATTTTTTACAAATTTGTAATAAATATTATATTAAAAATTTAAAACTTTCATAAATATATTTAAAAGAATGAATAATAAACCAGAAACTGTTCAAAAAAAATAAATGAATTTATTTTATGGAAATGGAAAATGAAATAGGTGGCGGAAATGGAGATAGGGAGGGTCCATTCAAAATAATTTTTAAGAGTAATTATAAAATAAATAATAATAAATAATTATGAAATAAAATAAATATATGTATATATAATTTTATAGTAGACAAAAATGTATTTTTTAAATTTAATAATAATGATAAATTAATTTCATTGAGTAATTAATTAACCGTTAACAATGAACAAAAGAATTAATTAATTTTAGATTAAGTAATAAGTTAATTATGCTTAATTTCCCCATAATTTAATTCATTTGCAAAAGCCAAAAAAACTTTGACGAAGAAAACCCGGGAAACAAACGGGTCAATTACAATTCCCCTACTCCAAAGCTTGCTTGGCAGTCATCTCCAGAACCTGCTTAAGCTTCGTTCATACCGCCGGAGGAAAGGGGCGTTTGCTCCGGCGAGCGGCTGAAAATGGGTGCAACGACGCCATATGAGATGAAATTGGATAGAATTTCCTCGTACATTGATAGCTTAACTTTGTACGTCAACCGTGTCGACCAAATCGATCCAGTCCAACTCTGCAATATCTGCTTTTCCCTTGCCAGGTTTTGATTTAGTACAAATCATTTAATTTTTCCAAGTTTGTTTCCTTTTCTTGTTGTGGAAATTTGTTTTGGGTGTTTTTCTTGAAATTTTGTTAGTTGAGAGGATTTTGAGACTGGTACTGCGAATACCTACTGTCTAGCTAGTTGGTAGAAAATGGAGTGTCGAGTAGTTTGTTTGGAATACAGAATTTGGGTGTGGTTGGAAGTATTGTGTTTCAGCTGTGTTCAGGTTTTCTTTAATTTGAAATTTTCCTGCATTTTCTAGCCTGATGGAGATGCGATGTGCGAATAGATTGTTTGTTGGATTCATTTGACATTTTTACTTCACTTTAACGGTGTCAACAAATAATTAAAGAATCGCATGGTTTTTCAAAATGAAGAAGATGATTCTGAAAACACCTTTTTTCGTAAGAACAGACGCCTACAAATTTCGGTAGTACGGAGTAAAAACATTTAAATAAGTGGTTTCAGTTAAACTTTGCATACTTCCTGTATTTTTGTTTTGAAAACTCAGTAGTTGCAAACAAGAGAAGCCAAAATAACATTATAAGGGAGCCCATAAAACTGATGTTTAAAGTGTGTATAAATGGGAGCTCCTCTATATGCAAAGGGATTTAAGGCTTTCACTTTTAAGGTCACTAAAGGGGTGGCAAAGTATATTGGGAATTGGCGAAAGGAAGGTTCCTTTGGTGAATTCATCTATGTTGATTCAGAAAGTTCTAATATTAGTGTAAATAGTGGAAGATCTAAGCATTTAAACTGTGGGGAATTTTTTGAGGTGGAAACAAAGAAAAAGAGAAAGAAGAGGCTCTGAGAAACAATGGAGAGTTAGATTTACTATTTCAACAGGGAACTGATGATGGAAATATGAGGATAATTCCTGTCGGTGAGAGGTCTGATGTTGGTTCGCAAAACACAATGATTTGATGGCCAGCCACAAAGCTAATTTGATCTTGGAGATTGTGTGTGGAAGGACTTTTATAAGCCTCTTAGATAACACCCTTGCCACAACCTTGTATAAACACGAAGTGAGGCTAATATTATCTCCCATATTTCTGGCATCACTTTTCTTGGGAATGATGGAAATATGGATTTTGTTTAAGCTTGTGTTTATGATGGCGTTCTCGAAAAGGCCTGGGAACACTCTCTTTATGTCATCCTTGAGAATGTTCCAATATATATATATATATATATATTTTGAAGAATTTGGTGATATAGCCATCCGGTCCAATAGAATATTTGGTGCCCAAATCCTTGACAAGAAGGGGTGGGTTTTAATGAAGAAATGAAAACTCACTTTATAATATTCTTATAGACTATTTGAAGAAGTATGGGTTTCTTTTTTCAAATCATCGAACGAAGCCGCTTTGTTTAGTTCATTATTCTTTTTAAAACTTGAGGACAAGTTTTTTTTTTTTCTGGAGAGAGAGATAGTGATGTAGTGAGATTCAGGTTAATTAAGGTAATTACTTGGTTAATACTATTTTTACTATCCTTTGTATTTTTGAATTTTAGTTTTCCCTCTAATTCTCTATAAATAAAGGGACTCCTTCATGTATTTTACAACTTGATTGATAATAAAGATTCTAAGAGTTTAATTCTTGGAGAATTATCTCCTTTAGGCTACTTACGCTACACCAAATTCTCTTTCGTGGTTGTGTTTCTCAGCCATGCTTGATAGACTGGGACCTCCCATAGAATTTATGTTTGTAAGGAGTGGTGCACGAGGATAGACGCTGTAAGCGAGAGAGAGAGAGAGAGAGAGAGGGAGTTTGTTTGGGAGCAGATAATTTTTTTTTTTGTAATTGTATGGACTAGTGGATATTGTTCGGTTATGCTAGTATATGATAGGACTGAGAGTGTAGTTGTCGGTGGGAATTACCATGTGTTGTGTATTATGCGAGAGCGTAGACCTCTTGAATGTTTGCCTGCTTATTTGTGCTTTCTTCTTTAATCTAATAGCACACTATTAGAACTTCGCTCTCAATTGTTCTATGAGCTTCGTACTTTTATTGGACTCATATCCCCAAGTCAAATACCTCATCGAGGGTATATGGGTTATGGTGAAGGTGACAACTTAAAATGAATTTCTCTGTTATTCTTTAACAATGTGGTCTCTTGTTCTATTGTGATGTCACTTCACGTTTTTAACTGTAGAAGTTTGTGTTAAATATTTAATTTCCTGCATTGCAAGGTTACTACTGTAAACCCTTTTATATCGTTAATTGTGCACTTCTGTTTGTCTCAAATGTTATTTATAATTATTAGTTCTTACTAGTGTGAACGGAATTGGCCTTTTTTTTATTTATTAATGAAATACTTTTTATTTATGTGCTTTAGCTTTTGCTCATAACCATCAATTTATCATCTTCCTTGACTTCATTTTGATTAACGTTGATAATACAGAAGTATTGACTTTGCAATTGCCAACGACTTTGTTCCATCTAAAGCTCAAGGTTTACCCAGTCTCTTGAAACAGGTAACATCTTTTATTCTAAATGTACATGAATTTTTTATGGTTTAATTTGTCCTCCAAGACACTTGTTTTCAAGGGAAAATACTTGCTTTCCCATTTCTGTTAAAAAGAAGCACTTCACTTTTTATTTTCTATAAATTGTTGGTCTATTTGAGAAGCAATTTTAGATGGTGTCATTATACGACTCTTCCCTCTTGCCAATTGGAGGCTTTTTGGGTATAATTTACATAATTTGAGTAATTTATTGTCCCTAGAATGCCCAATTTCTGTCAAATTACCTGCTAAGTTTTCATTTCTCGTTTTTGTACAATCACTACAAAATGTACCTTCCTAAATAGTTGACTGAATTATGTTCAAATTATTTGGCATTCTTATTTTGGTTCTAAGCTATGCCTTGAGATCTTGGCAGGACATTCAATAGGTTGGGATTGCACTGCCTATTAGTTAGCTGAAACTTAAGTCTATGTGGGGTAAAGATGTTGGGCAAAAGGTTGGATTTGGATTTGAAAGATGGGTTGTTATCCTATCTATATATTACACAGATTGGGTTTGTAGTCTCATGTTAAATGATTTTGTATCAGTTATTTATTCAGAATGTTGTATCTGATTGCTATATATTTTCTATTATGAGTTTTTTTTGAGCATTAGTTTACATAGAATATTTATTTGTCCAGATATGTCAGAAGAAACATTCTCATCACTTAAAAGCAGCAATCATGGTGCTCATGATAGCCGCCAAGGTATGTTTTTCTCATCTTTTGCATACGCTGCCGTATTTTTATATTTTAGAACCGGTGACCAAGTTTTTTAGTGT